TGTATATATTATTTAGAAGCCCTTGCAGATGTCGAAAGCTCAAATATTGATCATCAGGAGGATATAAAGCACATCCGAGTGTCTCTCTGGGGGTTCAGACGGATGAGAGAGAGAGAGAGAGAGAGAGAGAGAGAGAGACACACTCAAAGGGAGGTTGCCAATGGAATTGAGCAAGTGCCAAAGCAGTAAAACTCTGTAATTTAATCAATTTACTTTCACCAGTCACCTTGAACAAGTGTTTTTTTGTTGTGGTGACAGAAATCATGAAAAAAAAAAACCTACACTGTTAAAAAAATGAATTTTACCAGTAAAAGACCATAAAAACAACACCCCAAAAAAAACAACAACTAAAAAAGATCTAAAAACCTGTTAATTGTTTAAGGGTAAGTTTTTGGAAGTGAAAAAAAAATATTACTGCGTTACAGCAAAAAGTAATATACTACTGTAATATTAATAATTTTTTTAATGCGTTACTCCCAACACTGCTGATGATACACAGGGCAACTTTTTGAGCAATGTTGAAGGGCAACGGGTATCCAGATAGAAAGTTCAAAAGAACAGCATTTATTTGTTTTGTAACATTATAAATGTCACTTACTCTCACTTTTGATCACTTTAATGCTGAATAAAAGTATTCATTTCTGTAAAAACAAATCTTACTGACCCCAAACCTTTGAATGGTAATATAAAGGGAAATGATCTCAAAGCATTCATCTGATTGGCCCTTGTTTTGTCTCTATGATAACAGGCGCTGCTGCAGGAGCGTGAGGGGTCGTCTCAGCTGATGATGGATTCACAGTATCGTTTCCAGGTCACCTTCCCCTTCTGCTCCTCACCACAAGCACTAGAGCTCCTACAGGTGCCCAGCAGCCTCCGTCTGGGCTTTGTCACTCGCATTTGACCTCTAACCTCTGACCTTAGTGATATCAGGACCGGTACTTAGGATCAGGATGCGTCTGTGTTGACCTGAATACATCATAGAAACACTGCACAGTAGCCGAATTGCTAATATAAACTCATTAATGCTAACATTTGTATATATTGTTAATTTATTTATAAAGATTTTAATCACATGTTCTCTAAATGAGTGTTTTGAATAACTACTGTTTAGATTATAAATCTTTTAGAATAGCTTTTTTAAGATCAGCTATGAACAAACACCCTAACATACATTTCAAAAACCCAAACCAACCTCAAATGTTCAGTTGGTTCAATTTTGTAAATCCTAAATAATTATTGTCACAAATTGCTCTTCCGTTGAATTTTTTATAAATCAGAAATCAATAAACACAACTGCCAAATGAGTCCTCTTCTCTTCACTCTTAGCACTTCACCATAGCTCTCACAGTATGCCATGGAAATGCAATATTTATGATGGTTAATCCTCAGAGGACTAGAGATGGAAACCACTAGAACTAATCTAGCAGTCAGTAATCTCAATCTCACAGGGTGCGTTCCTCAAACATGTTGGGTATAATTCACCATTTCACCAGTATGTCACAATTTTTGATATACTTTTGCCATTTTTTATTTGTTTGAAAAATATTTCTATTTAGCTTTCATTTATTCTTATTGCAGTTCTTGATAATATTTTTGGTTATTATTTTATACTTGCAATTAAGTGTATTACATCACGTTTTACTTTTGTTATTTAATGTATAGATTTAATATTCTGAATTAGGTTTTATTCGAATATTTTTTCAGTATTTTAATTTTGTTTAAGTTTGAGTCATTTTATGTAATTTAGTAATTATGTAATTTTGTCAATTTTGATTTGTTTTTAAAATATTTTAATAATTTGATATTATTTTATCATTGGAACTAAGCACATTTCCCCCCTTTTTCGTAACTAAAATATTTTCTTTTGAATTTAATTAAAATTACCAGAATTTTCAGTGATCATTTGCTTATTCTCCTTATTCTAATATAGTCATGAAAATCTTCAGGATTATATATATATATATATATATATATTATATAACTAGTGTTATAATATATGAAGAGTTCATTTGCAAAAACAGAACGTTTTTAACAATTTTCAAAAATCATGTTTTTTCATTTTGCATTCCAATTAATCCCAATCATACTGCAGTTGGG